TCGTGACACTGTGCTGACCTTTGTTATCAATCTCATCCCTCTGGCTCTCATTTGGGGGGCGGGTGGGGGTGCTCACTGTGTAATATAAACTGGCCTTGAAGTTGCTATGTAGCCAAGGTTGTCCTCCAACTCACATGTTCTTTCCAGGTCTCCATAAGGACAGTAAGCCTCCATGCCCAGCTTCCCAGCTGTTTTCTTGGCAGGCCTGGGAAGACAATCTATCTCACAGCATCCATGGCTGTAGCTGGTACAGCTTGGCTTCATCTATTCTCCAGAAAGCAGCCCATCTCTCTTCTTGATTATCTTGCTAAAAAAGAACCAGAGATCCTGTCAGAGCTAGAGTTCATTAATTGGAAATGCATGGCCTGCACCAAAAATAGATGTTGAACTAACCAAATTTAGATTGTCCTGTATTTTTATGGAGGGGGAGTAGGTCGTCGAGTCAATTGAGAAACAACAGCTGCTTCAAATTATGAGATACGTTGACTAAATCAAAAAATATTGGCTTTAACAAAGTTGTGTAGTGTTGCAGCAGCACTCTTCATTGTCTGTTTCTCTGTTGCAGCAGGTCTTGCCTGCAAGTCGTTTTGTGTGCAGGTTTCATGCTCTGTGCCCAAGCTACTTGCAAAGTTGACCTCCCGTAGAACCATCAGTTTCTAGGTGACACATAGAAAAGGGGGTTTTGCTTCCTTTTGTTTTTGTAGTTTTGAAATAGAGGTCTCACTATATATCCCATGCTGGCCTCAATGGCTAGTATTACAGATGCGTGTTACTACACCTGGCTTAAATTTTAGTCATTGTCTTTACTGATTTTTTTTTAAAGAATTGTAAGATCAAGGGCTGAGGAACTAACTAATGAGTGTTGTTGTTTTGGTCACAGTTAAGCAGGTAAAGGTCAGTTTAAAACCAAGTTAAAGAAAATTATTAAATGAGTGATACAGTTCAGCTAGAATAGGGTTAGAGCCTAAATGCCAATCCTGTCTTGTGAATGCAGAGTTAATCCCGTGGATTGAAACTTTAGGATGAAGTCTAAACTGGGGACCGTGGAAGGTATAATTATTCCGGATTGTATACAAGTGAAAAGAATGAATCATTTTGTTGTCAAAATCCCATCTGATCCCACTGGAAGAGTTCTCAAGACTCTGGCATCTTATTGTTCCCCGCAAAAGAGGCAACGTTCATGAAGTCATTTTGTACGGATGTATTTCCCTGAGGCCTCTCCTAATAAGAGGTGTGAACACCCAGGACTTCATTTAAGCCATTGCACGGCAGCACTGAGTCACGCCGCATTCCTAAAACGTGAACACCGTGCTTGATTCACTTGCTAGGCCAGGTCCACACATGCACTCGATTTTGTTCCTTTTTTCTTTCCTTCTTCTATAGCATCAAAGGTCGTGGTTTGCCTTGTCATTTTCACCATTTGAACCCATTACTTCTCATTTGCCCTTAATGGAATAGGAAGGACTGCCAAACACAGCCATAGACAGCAAGAAGTCAAAACACATCCACAACAGAAAAATTCTGTAGCGTACCTGAACACCAATGTGTGTTTCTCATGAAACACTTCATCCACTGTGTGATCAGAGATGGATACCATGAACACGTGAACGATGTGTTGTGCTCACTTCCAAGGACAGACATTGATTGCAACATTCTGAAGATGGTTGGCGCCATGTGGCTGTGAGTAAAGGAACATTCTAGATGCATCTCCAAAAGTAGATACCAGTTTTTGCCTTCCTTTAAAAGCAAATCTAAAAATATGTTTCCTAGCAGCTGTTTAACAGCAAAACAAGAAGGAAAAAGGACCCTCCCTGCAGCAGAGTAATTTTCTCAACCAGATATCTACAGGGTCAGACCTCGTCGCTTCAGAAATCTGCTGAAGATTTCACTGTGTATATTTAGACCAAGGAGCCTATTAGCTTGTGATCTAAGAGAACCTCTGTATTCTCATAAAAATGAGAAATGTGGCAGTATTGGCAACCAAGGCTATAATTATGTTAATGTAGCCATTTTCAGACTGAAATATGTTGTTTTAAAATGTTTCTGTATTTTTATTATTCATAACAATGATCTGAAGAAGTTTAGGAAAATGCTAGTAAGTTCTATTCTGTATCACCTTGAGACTAGGGCATAAAAATAAGTCAATGTGGAACTTTGAGTCACAATTTTTATTAACAGATATGCACTAGCTGGGTGATGATGGCACATGCCTTTAATCCCAGCACAGGAGGGAGAGTCAGGCAGATCTCTATGAGTTCAAGGCCAACCTGGTCTACAGAGCGAGTTCCAGGACAGCCAAGGATACCCAGAGAAACCCTGTCTCATATATATATATATATATATATATATATATATATATATATATATATATACTGACTTCATGAAAATTTAGGTTTTTACACTGTTGTGGACTGAACCCAGGGCCTCATGCATGTTATATCATCATTTTCCACTCAGGTATGTCCCCCAGTCTTCTTTTCACATTTTATTTTGAGACTAAGTTACCCTGACTGGCTTTTAACTCACTCCATAGAAAGGAAGGCTGTGAACTTTCAGTCTTCCTGCCTCAGACTCCTAAGTAGCCGGGATTACAAACTGGTGCTACCAGCCTCAGTTCAAATACATTTTTATGTTTTCAGTATCTGTGCAGTGAATATATATGCAAAGCTAACTAATCATGGATGTCCAGTAAAAAAGTGTGTCCATTTTCATTGGATCTATACTTTTTGCTATACATAAAAAAGCCCATAGACTCTCATCCTTTGGAGCCATAGCCAAAATAAACTCTCTTCCTTACATTGTCTTTGGTCATGGTGTTTTATATCAGGCACAGAAAAGTAACTAATAGAGCCTTCTACTCAGTGTGGTCTAGATTCAGAATGTCCTTTCTTACAGGATTTCCCTCCCAGTTCTGCAGCTGCCTTGTCCCAAATGAACCGTTGGCTGGTGGCTTGGGCTTCTTATTGGCTTGGTCTGTCTTAACTATTAACCCCTAACTGCTAATCTATGTATTTCTACACAGTATTGGCTTACTGGAGAACAAATCATGTGGCCTCTCTTCCTGGGCTCATTTCATGACTCCTCTCTGCCTACACTTCCCAGAATTCTCGTCTGGTAGCCCTGCCTATCATAGCCAAACAATGCTTTACTCATCAACCCATAAGACAATTAATTTGAGAATGGGAGTGAAGAAAAATATCTTTTCTCTTTTTTTAAGTAACAAGTTCTCTTTGCACATGTGTACACACACATATTTGTCAAGATGCACATGTGAGGTCAGAAGATAGCTGAGAGGAATTGGAGTTGGTTGTTTTTTACTCTTTGGAGGCCTGCCACCCAGCTCCCAAATAAATATACAGAGGTTTATTTTTTGTTATGAATACCTAGCCTTAACTTGGTTTGTTTCTAGCCAGCTTGTTGTTTGTTTGTTTGTTTGTTTGTTTGTTTTGTTTCGAGACAGGATTTCTCTGTGTAGCTTTGGAGCCTGTCCTGGCACTCTGTAGATCAGACTGGCCTCAAACTCACAGAGATCCACTGGCCTCTGCCTCCTGAGTGCTGGAATTAAAGGCGTGTGTCACAAACGCCTAGCTCTAGCCAGCTTTTCTTAAATTATCCCATCTAATTTTGCCTCTGGGCTTTTACCTTTCTCTATTTCTGTATATCTTTTCTTTCCTTCTTACTCCATGGCTCTCTGTGTTGCTGGGTGGCTGGCTCTTTCTTTTCATGCTCCTTGATCTTCTCCCAGATTTCTCCTATTTATTTTCTCTGCCTGTCCTTTCTCCTGCCTTGCTACTGGCCATTGTTCAGCTCTTTATTAGACCAATCTGGTGTTCTGTTTGATTAGTTGGTTGGTTTTTCAAGACAGGGTTCCTCTGTATGGTTTTGGAGCCTGTCCTGGCACTCGCTCAGTAGACCAGGCTGGCCTCGAACTCACAGAGATCTTCCTGCTTCTACCTCCCAAATGCTGGAATTAAAGGCATGCACCACCAATGCCCAGCCCATTCAAGTGTTTTAGACAGGGAAAGTAACACAGCTTCACAGAGTTAAACAAATGCAACATAAAAGAATGCAATACATCTTTGTATCATTAAACAAAAGTTCCTTACCATTAACAAATATGATACATCTTAAAATAATATTCTTTTCCTTCCACCATGTGAATCCCCAGGATTGAATTCAGGTTATCAGGCCTGGCTGTCATCACCACTGCCTCATAAGTCTTTTCACTGACATAAGCAAGAATATTTTCTTATATCTTCTTAAGTGCAAGCCCATGCCATACACTTGGACTTTTCTCCTCAAGGATGAAGTCTTTGAGATATATTATAGCAAAGTATACATTGCCTACATTCAGAATTGCCACTCGTTCATGAGTTCTTCTCTTTCCCCAAGAGAAGATATTGGTTTCTTTCTTCATCCTCCTGTGAATATATTCAAATGAATCTTATGCATTTTATACACTTTGTCTTGCCTCGAAACTCAGTAAGGAGCCCATGAATATTTGTTGGTGATATTAAAAACAATGCAAGTTTTTCATGCATTTCTACACCTCGGATAATGTAGCAATGATTTAATTCATTTACTATTCATGGCCTGAGAAGGATAAGCACAGTAGGCATTTCTAGAACACCATAGCTGCAGTTAGAGGCTCAGTGAAACTCGCTGCCAGAGCCACAGTGAAATTTGGGGAACAATGATGGAGAAGAGATTCTTAGGAGAAATCAAGCCTCTTTAACCATAATTCAGTGTCCTGATTTTAGGAAACTCTATTTGTTGGCCTATATCTTCCTATCCTTCCTGGGAGAAATTTTACCCAATATTGTTTTTCAGAAAAGTGAAGAAATTTAAGTGAACACACACACACACACACACACACACACACACACACACACACACACACACACACACACACACACACACACACACACACACACACACACACCACCCTGAAAAGAGGAAGAAGCTGAATGTTGGGTTCAACAGTGAGAGAAAGTAAGTCGTTTGGTTTAAGCTGGAGTTTATCTTTAAAGTGGATACCAAAGTTCTTGGTGGTAGTTGGGGACTTTGAAAAGTGCTTCATATTTCCCATCGCCATTTCTTCATGTGCCTTACTACATGTGGGGCTGAGAGTCTCTCCTTTCAGGGGACAGCATTGGCAAGAACAACCAGATAGTATTGTCCTCTTTCCATGATATAGGCATTTGTCACATGGAGCATGATGATTCTCTCAGAAGTCTCAGAGCTGCTAACTAACCTTTTGGTTTCTTACAACTTCCTTGGTTTCCAAATTCAGGGCTTCACCTGAGAGTGGGGATGCCCACAGTTCTGGATGTGCGTTCTTGGAACTTGGAGAAGCAAATCTGGTGTCTGAGGATCAGCCTGGTGGCAAAGAGATGGTGTTAGCTGGTTCAGTTCCTCCAGGGCAGTGCAGGGCAATGCAAGGCATGGGCAGAGAAGCTGCCAAGCTCAGCCTCGGGACATGCATGACTCCCAAACTGGTTGTCTTTGAGGCTGTTATTTATCCAAATAAGGAAGGCAGTGGTTTTGCTGACCGGCTCAGATTTCTGAGCCATGCTTGCTGGCTGGCTAACCTGATATTTGAACTGCAAACACAAAGGTATTCCTTTGAAATGGAGCACTTTTGTGGGGTTCACGGATATCCTGGAGTCATTGTTTCGAGGACTTTCCCCTGCAGTTTTAGAGAATGTGGATACCGTCGGTTTGTTTGAGCCTTCTCTTCTGGAACCAGCAGCAGAGATGCCTTTGTTCAGATATCTGTGCACTTGATTTTGCACCAAAATAATACTCAACCTCAGACCCCTTTAAGGTCAGACCCGAACACTGATCTCTAGATACTGAACTGCGAGATTGTCAGGCATCTCGTGGATTCTGGACCTGGCTTTTGTCTTTGGATGAGAAACTTGAAGTTCTAGGTCAGTTTGTTTATCTGAAAATGGAGGTGATAGGAATAATTAGGAATTTAATGGGATAAGTTTGGAAAGCATTGATAAATAAGAAATGTCTAAAAACATTACTTTCCTCTGTCAAACTTCCTCTGGCAAATGAGTTGAACCAATTTAAGTATTTACTATTGGAAAAATCATAGGCAATTGTGAGCATGACTGCCACCCACAGCTTACTATCAGAATGCTCTCATTCTGTCGATCCTGGGAAACTGTCTTTTGCACTCATTTAAGTGGTTCTTTCTGGATCCTATTTTGAATATATATATATATATATATATATATATATATATATATATATATATAGAGGCATCCTTAACTTTCTCTTGTAAACTGTGCCCTCCTCAAAGGTGAGGATTGTGTACTTACTACTGGCTTGTTTTGTTTTGAGTTTTGTTTTTTGTTGTTGTTGTTATTGTTATTTAAGATAGGGTCTCACTATGTGGTTCTGGCTATCCTGGAACTCACTCTGTAGAACAGGCTTCCCTTGAACTCACAGAGATCTGCCTGACTCTGCCTCCCGAGTACTGGGATCAAATGTTTGAGCCTCTATGCCCGCTGAACGTTATGTCTTAACAGACCACTTCTCCCTCATCAATTGTAACCCTGGACTTACCATAGACAGTGGCTACTCAATAGACACTCCATGAATTTACAGAATCGTATTTTTGGAGTGGGCATTACAGGAAGTCCTGTTTAAAGATTAAGAAACTCATGTTAATTCTTGTGCTCTATGCAGATTGAGTGATTCATTCAAGAGTGGTGTTGGTTGCCTTCCCTCTTCCACACTGGTGTTCTTATTTTTAAAAACCATTACTGATATTATTAATTATTATTAGGAGTGTATTGTGCACATTCATACAGACATTCACGTGCCATGGCCCCTGAGTGGAGATCAGAGGATAACTTCTGAGAGTTGGTTCTCTCCTTCTTCCAGTTCCAGGAACTGAGCTCAGGTTATCAGGCTTATGGCCCAGTGTTTCTACCTACTGAGACATCTTGCCAGCCTGTCTGCACTGATTTTTGAGAGACACACTTGGAGGCCATTCAGGAATAATAATCTGGTCCAAATACTTGCAGGTGTTTTCGTATTCTTTGTCTCAGGCTCCAACTAAAGCCGAGGAAGACAGATGGGGTTTCAAGGGCATATTCATCACAAGGTTGGAATGTCTGAAAAAACTGAGAAAGTACCATGTTGTCAGTTGTAACCCAGCATCTATTCAGTCTTACCCATAAGCATCCTCCTCCCTTGGATGCCCACGGAATTGTCTGACACTGGGAGTTGCTTTTAAGGGCAGAGCAGAAGACCCTTCTGAATCAAACGTAAATCGGCACAAGGGCTGTTTTGATATGAAACTGCACTGTTGTCTCACATTTATTTGCCTAGAGTTTGGATTTGGTGACGTATAAATTATTGTCCTCCAGTGTTATCCCCTGGAACTTGTCTCCTTTACAGCCCTTTCTTCTCCTGACACATTAGCCAGTGTTCAGTTATGGATAAAAATGATGGCTCAGCAAAGCACCTCTCACCAGCCACAGCAGACTGTTTAAAACGGGCTCAGTGATGCGGCTTGCCTTGCGCTATGTTTGTTCTGTTAAGCAGTAATGGAGCCTGCATGCATCCCCCAAGGATAAGAGGTCATGCCGCTAAGTGACCATTTGGTTTCCAAATTCTGTCATTCATCCAGATATCTACCATCATTTTTCCCTAATGGGCCCTGAAATCTCTGCCTCTCTAATCTACAGTTGTAGTGATTACAATTCTGTATAAATCGTTATGAACTCATTTGGTAAGTTTAGACTTGCTATGTCATCAAGCCAAAATATGCACATGTCTTAATTCTCACATTGTTGCAATCATCCTAAAGCTATTTGCTATGGTATGTAAGTTTCTTCAGTCATAACTTGGTCAGTTTTTATGTTGAAAGGAAAGCTGCACATAGGGTCAAAAGAAGGGACCTGTGTCTCTGTCACTGGTTAATGAATTTCTGAGAGATATGAACTAGTTAACTTTGAAAGATATGGTCCCCATAGATGTTAATAAGATACACCCCAAATATTTTAGCACACAAGTAATCTGGTATCTGTGTGTATATGTATATATATTATTTAATATTTAAATTTATTTTTATTTTATGTATGTGCATTGGTGTTTTAGCTGCATGTATGTCCCTGTGAGCATGTCAGATCCACCCTGAAACTAGAGTTAGAGACAGGTGTGAGCTGCCGTGTGGGTGCTGGGAATTGAACCTGAGTCCTCTGGAAGAGCAGTCAGTGCTCTTAACCTCTGAACTATCTCTCCAGGTACCCCATATCTGTGTTCAGTTTCCCTTCCCATGATTTCAGCTCCTTAAGATCAATATTGGTTTATCTAAAACTAATCAATAGAATTAACCCGTTCATAAGTTCTTTTTTTTTTTTTTTGGTTTTTCGAGACAGGGTTTCTCTGTGGCTTTGGAGGCTGTCCTGGAACTCACTTGGTAGTCCATGCTGGTCTCGAACTCACAGAGATCTGCCTGCCTCTGCCTCCCGAGTGCTGGGATTAAAGGCGTGCGCCACCAACGCCCGGCTCAGTTCGTAAGTTCTAAGTAGCTTTTATTACAATTTATCGTCATAATTATCCCAAATGTGTTATTGTCGTTGAAGTCTTTGGGGCATGTTTAAGGAAGGGACAATGTAATATATATAATGTTCTGTACTATCTGCAGCTGTAGGTGTCTACTTATATGTTGGAACTTATCTCCTATAGATGAATATGACTAAAATACTACTAGCTACTACACGTATATACTTGCTACATGATGTTGGGCAAGGTTCTTAACTTCCTACATGTCATTCCCTAGTCATTCAGGACAGTAGCACCTGCCTTACTGAGTTCTGGTGTCCATAAAATAAAATCATAACTGAAAGCACTTTATATAATACAAAAACACTACATGATTATCATTTGTACTTGCTCGAGGGCACACTTAAAATTCCTTTCACAACAAGAAGCATTAGAAGTTGATAATGCAATATATTATACATTTAAGGTGTGTGCTAATAATTAAATAGGCATTTCAGTAGCCGTTACTCAAAGGAAACAGTGTAAGCCGCTGAGTTGAGCCCATAGGTAATGTTCCAGCAACAGATCTGGAAGGTCTGAAAGGGATCCGCGCACAAAAGAACTGTCTGTGCAGAAGCATCGGTGGACACGAAGAGCACAGAAGGAGCTGTTTGTTCCATCTGTTGCAAATGTTTGTAAGAAGATATGATTTTCCTAACTGTGACCACTACAGATACCGAAGGAGTTGTCCTTGGCTTGAGATAACACAGGGAGTAGCCCTGTAGAAGATCAAGTATCCATGTGAGAGGGGAGTTTTTCTTTTACCTACCCTGCAGCTCTGCCCTGTCCCTGATTGTGACTTGGAAGTTTGATGATGCTATACGTAACATTATTTCTTTATTGTGCCCCAGCCCGAGCATCTTCTATCATTGTTGGGCACAGGGCTGGCCCACCAGATCTGGTGGTGTAGGGCCCAACTAGAGTTCTTCATGTCAAACTATTTCTGAGAATAACACTCATGTTAAATATAGCCATAAGCTAACCGCTGATGGGATCATCTCTTTACTGAGAATCCAATAATTTTGGCAACAGCCTGTCTGTCTCATGTCTGGGAGAAGGTCCATTTATGATCAAATGAAACATTAATAGATTAATAAGACCTTACAAATGATCATCCTTGCAATTTTAGCATTATAAACAAGTTGAGTTTGAAATATTTCCAGCATAATAATCGTGTCCTTTTATGATACCTTGTTTACGCCTATAGGCACATGGCAGTTTCTTTTTATATGTGTATTTCTTAAATTGTTAATGAATGGGAAAGAGGAATTAGGAATAAGTTTTACAGTGTCATTGGCCTCCCCAGAGAGTAAACATTGTGTCCTACTGAGGTAACACTGGATGTTTGCTGACAAGGCCTTTCTTAAATTTAAATAAATTGCTTCCTCTTCACTTGCAGCTTTGGTGCAAAAAAAAAAAAAGAAAGAAAGAAAGAAAGATGGGGGATGAACAGCTATTTCACAAAGGCTGTTTCTGGAAAGGTAGACAAGTCTGAGAACAACCTGATGATCAAACTAGAGTGTGACATGGCAGTAGTTGGCTGAACTTGGGCATGTGGGAAGGAGTTAAGGAGCCCTCAGAAGAGTGCCAGTCACTTGGTGGGCCTGGGAACAGCACCAGGACATTTGTTTATTTTTTCAGAAACGGGTAGTTCATTAGCCACTTCTCTTTCAAAGCCTTGGGTAGCAAACCCCTCTCTCCTCTCTGGGACCAGCTTCCTGCTTACTGCACAGCATTTAACTCATCCGGATTCGCTGCAGGATTCAGCTGCCTTTCAAGTCCCTAATGGTGAATTACTGCCCCAGTAATGATGAAGCCGTATGCACTGTGCAGAGAGCCCAAGCCATGCATGCACCGTGCAGAGTGCCCTGGAGAACTTTGAAAGTGAAAGGAGATGGCTCTGAAAAGGCAGGAAGGAAGAGATGGGAGAGACAGGCCAGACTGCCCCCGACATGATACCAACTCCCATGGTAGCAGAGTCAACAGAAGCTATCACCCTTTAAGGTGACTGTCAGGAAATAAGTTGATTATGGCATGATTCACTCAACCAAAGAGTACCGAGGGAGGGTTCATTGCTTCTGTTTGGGGGTGGGAATAGCATGGCCCCATCACTCTGAATGAATAGGCAGTTCCATATGTGAAGACTCAGGGGAAGCACTCAAAGAACCAAGCTGTGCCTTCCATTAAACAAAGAAGCTGGAGGTGCGGTGGGGCTGGATGTGGCTTCCACAGACAATGAAGGCCAGCTTCTATGTTCCCCTTCCTGGAAAGCCCTTCTGTGACCCAACAAACCCTGCCAAATATATGCCAGATGTCTGGTTGCTGAGAGTGTGTGCTTCCCGTAGCCCGGTGAGAAATAACAAATCCTCGCTGATTAGATTAAAAAATCAAAACAAGGGTTTTCAAGTCCCTTCTCCTCTTTCCCAGTCTCTTAGGTGGCATCTGTTACAACCACTTCATCAAAATATTGTTTCTAATGGGACATCCTAGGAGGGTGGTGGTGGTATGGGCAACACTTTCCCCCTCCCTTAATAACCGCGGGCGATTTGGTGGTAGTAAACAGGCCCTTTGGTGCCTTCACCATGCTGACTGCATTTGAACTTCAGGGACGTCACGGAATTCTTTTGGTCAGCAAGCACAACCTCTGACAGACTGAAAATGTTTTTAAAAATGCACAGGCAGCCATGAGTGTGGTAGCGGGGTGTGGCTTAAGGCCAACCCAGTGTCTGAGTTTCCTTGTTGCAGGATTCCCAGCTGGGTGTTGTGCTGTCCCTGAGGGCTCAGAGGACAGGGGGAGTGGCTAAACTGAGTGCTTCTGTGAGCCAAGGGAAGCCTTGGCTTTTGCCTCACTCACCTTTTGTTAGCCAGGCGTTGACACCTGTCCTTCAGCGAGCCACTTCTGGTGGACCCACACTCCCCTTCTTGTCCCTGTCTCCCTAGAAGAGCAGGCTGTACAGTGCCTTCCTCAGGGGATGCCTGTGGAGAACCTCTGGCTTTCTCTTCCTTGTTGCCTAGGGTGGGGCTGCCAGGAGCTGCTTGCCTTTCTCAGAGCTCCTCTTCCAGCAGTTGCGACTTGCCCTCTCTTTTCCCTCCTCATGGAAGCTTGGTTTTCCAGAACCATAGCCATTGCTAGCTAGCCCCGCGCTGCAGAAAACTGATAGCTCAGCCTGGTTAGACCAGCGGGTTAATCAGTAGACAGCCTTTTTACCCTCCTTGTTTTCCCTCAGATATCACAAACCTAGGGAAGAAACAGGTTGCCTTTACTCACCAATAACCAGACTTTAAAAGTCCAGCAGAAGAATGATGCTTGGGTGCTGGGCCAGGTTTTTTTTTTTCAGCACTCATAACAGGACACGAGAGTTGGTCCTGGGGGATAATTAGCACACCAGCTTCTCTGTTGGTTTCACTTCTTGATGGCTGGCTCTTGGTCTGCTTTAAGGACTATGTTTGCTTTATGTAGATTCTATTTGGCAATATAGCTTTTATTGCTAACCCATTTACCCAGGGCTCTCAGTGTTGAGCGCCTTCCTCGCTCTGTGTTTCCCTGTAAGCAATTGTTGAAGGATTGAGTCACCCACGCAGTAGCCTGTGGTTGGATGGGAGCTGAGGTTATTCAGTGACTAATTTCCAAGGGGAGGAGAAATTGGCTTATCATGGGGAGAGCTACTTTTTATCCATGCCTGTGGCAGCTCTGCTCTGAAGACTGGGCAAAACAAACTGGTCTTTATTGGGCAGCATTTAGTATCTGAGTGTTCTTCGGGTGATTTGGACTCTGAAGAGAAGAAAGTTGTCTGGAGGGCCTGGGGATTCGGATGAGGATCTCAAACAAAGGAGTACCATAACCCGGCACAGAGCCAATGGGCCTTTTCTCGGCGTCAGTTGCACAGGTGGTTCCCTCAGACAAAAAGTAAGTGGCTTTTGTTCTTAGAGGATGAAAACATTTCTAAGGACGTTTTTCTGTTTTCTCCGGTTACTTATTATGTGGTCTGGTGGAGGAGACCACGTACAGATTCTAGACTTGGAAGGGTGTGGCTTGAAATAGAGTAAGCTGAACATAATATGCCCTCCCCACAAAGCATATCTGTGTATTGTAAATGCTTCAGAAAGAGATAATGATGACATGAACATTTCCACAAAGGATGGTAAGTGAACATTTTTTTCATGTTAGATTTTTTTTTCCAGAAACAATTTTTAAATGTTCCTTCTTGTCTTACTTTCCAGAAACTTCCAACCAAGTGATACTTGCCTTGTCTTAGATTGCTTAGGGAAAATGAAATGCAGCTATATATAGCTGCCTAACTCAAACCTAATTTGAACTGACCCTCAGTATACTCTAGTTGAGGGAAAGATGAGGTACATTATTGAACTGGGTGCTATGATCGAGAACAGCAGCATGTTACCCGGGGCCAGCTTGGTGATGAGACTGCAAAAAACCCCTCCCTGTTTACCAGCACCAGGACTCAAACAACCAGGACACAGTAGGGATTTGGATAGTGGTGAAAGGAAAAGACAATACCATACGTAGCAAACAAGTGAGGAAGAACAGCCTGCTTCATACATTGCTGGCTGGTTGGATATTTCTATTCCTGAACCTAGGCAGACCAAAAACAAAACCAAAAAATCTTGAATTCTAATAAGGGAGTAGAAAAATATGTGTAGGTCCTCTTTTATTTCTGTAAAAGGAAATTCTGCAGTTTACATACAGATGTCAAGGTTAAAGTCCCTGTAGAGAAAGTCTCAGTGATGGGCATAGCTACTTTGAACTTGCTGAGAGGAATGGGGTGCAGAAGAATCATCAGGGGTAGGTGAGACCCTAGCAGGCTCAAATGATCAGGGGTACACAGTACAGTCCTGTGTATACAAATGTCTTGCTTATCTTTCCATGTAAAGTAGTCTAATCTTCTCCTAGACCCGACTGTGGGCATTAGTATAAGAAAAGCCCATTCATATTTAATGCCAGGTCTTTGTCAGCAAGACAGTTAAAAACCACAACAAAATCAGACTGTAGATGCCTGGAACAAGGGCATTACAGTCATAAGAAGGACACTAGCTCGAGCGCCAAAGGTTGTTCTAAATGACAAACTATAAAACTTATCTGCCCCATAGCCAGTCAGACAAGCATCTTGTGAAGTTAGTAAAGTCTAGTTTTTTTTTTTAAGTTTGGTTTTTTTTTTGTTTTTGTTTTTCTTTTTTTTTTTTTAAGATTTTATTTATTTATTATGAATACAACATCCTGCCTCTACATATGTCTGCACGCCAGGAGAGGGCACCAGATCTCATTACAGATGGTTGTGAGCCGCCATGTGGTTGCTGGGAATTGAACTCAGGACCTCTGGAAGAGCAGTCAGTACTCTTAACCGCTGAGCCATCTCTCCAGCCCCTAAAGTCTAGTTTTTAAAAATCAACATGAGGTTCCTTCTTCATCTCCCAGTCCTTCTGCCAGGTCCTGGGTGAGATGCTACCAGGCAAACTGGGTCATTTACTGTAAGAACTTGAGTTATCTCGTGTTAAGAGTTTGTTCTCATAGATCTGAAAGCCATGTTTTCCCATGGCTTAACGGGATTATCATGTCGTCCTCTTCTGGAGCTCTATTTAGAGCAGGGGGTGAAATGATCGGGTGCTTTTTAAAGCTATCTTGGAAAATCAGACACAGCCTGGCAAAAGCAACATGAACATTTTGCCAGAGGCTTTGACTATGCCCCTAGTATTGATGGAGACATTCAGCCTCAGATTAACTGTTCTGTCATAATTAAATATCCAGTGGTTAACTCAGGGGTTCATTCATTGGACCATGGCAAGATTATTTTGAAGTGGAAAGTTTAGGGACGATGGCCAGCATGGTCAGCAAGTGTGTGATGTCTATCGCTAGAATCCATCCTCACGCATGAACTGATTAGCCCCTGGACCAAGACAGATGCTGGCTATTCGATATTTTGACTGGCACCCGCATTCTTCACATGAATTCGCAGCACAGTATATCAGAATTATTCTTAATTGATTTGTTCTTTCAGAATACATCTATTCATGCTACCAGCAATTTTAAAGACTTTTTTTTCTAATGAGCCTTTTGGTATTTCATTTTAAAGGATACTTATAACTCAACTATATTTTTTCATATCACAATAAAAAATTAAATTCCTATTCAAATACCTCTGCTGCTTTAAAAGACACATGTCTATGTTTTTATAAATTAGTTAATTTTACATTTTGCTTTCATTAATATCACTTATTTATCATAATAGTTCTCTACTGTTCAGAATCTTGTTCTCTCTTAACAGAAAGATGGATATTTCTACTGTGGCCAGGTGGGCTGGGATCCCCAAATTCTAGATGCTACCTAGAGATAGATAAAAAAGGAAAACAGAGATGGCCCTGATTAAAGCACTTGCTGGTCCCTAGTGGCTTCTAGACATTTTCCATCTTGTTTACCTTTGTAATTCCCAACAATAATGGCAACAGAACTCTCTATGTATTAATTTGTCTTAGGCAATGTGTCATACTCTTCACACAGTGGCCTATGGAATCAATGTGATGTGATGAGCTTATCTTGAGGGATTTGTTTTGTTGTTGATTATTGTATTGCATATTATGATGATTGTTTGGGGCATTTGGTCAGATACACACTGCCAGCTAAGCAAGACCCTCTCAGGCTTTATAACCTATAAAGCTATGTGCGGAGCATACCTTTGTTTGTATTGAGCCCTGAACTGTGCAAGACAGTGGGAAAGGTGTTTGTAAGGATTTGTGATGGTTTTGTAAACCCTCCATTCTGTGGTTGTTCCAACCACTCTGGAGAACTAATCAAGTATACTACCCCATAGTGACTTTGGGTGGCGTCCTTCTGGTCTACTGAAGTGCACACTGAGTCAGACATGTGTCAGCTGAACAGAGAATGGTCTCATGGGCAGATAACATTAGGGCACCTGGAATCCAGGACTAGGTATGGAGCATAAAAATAAGGACACAAAAGGGAGTTTCAAGGTACTCTAGGGAAGCATGAACTATGATTGTAAGATTAACTATGATTGTAAGTCAGGAACCTGTTCTCTCTGGGGTCTCCAGAATCATTCAGGTCCTTGGGGAACCAAGGGGCCAATTCAGTGATTCCTTAAAAGGGTTTCATTTAGTTGTTGACTATTTGTAACTATTTCACACTTTTTTAAATATTTATTTATTAAGTATACAGAATTGTGACTGCATGTATTCCTGTAGGCCAGAAGAGGCCACCAGATCTTATTACAAATGGTTGTGAACCACCATGTGGTTGCTGGGAATCGAACTCAGTACTTCTGGAATACAGTGCTCTTAACCTCTGAGCCATCTTGCCAGCCCAACTATTTTGCATTTTTAATTAGTCACTTTCTGTGTAAAATATATTATAATATATTGAAGTAAGTCCCTGATCCTGTCAAGGATTCTACATCACTGGATGCCAGAGACAAGATAAGAAACTGTGGAAGATTGATTAACTCTTGCTCTGGATTCCCATGGAGGGCATGTGGGAAAGCATTTGCCTCTCAGTGCCAGGAACTAGAATGATTGTTTGGAGCTGTATCCCAATACCTGACTCTTAAGAACTTGGTAAAGGTTGTTCACATAACAAATGTATATGGTGATGGATCAGTTTCTTTTACTCAAGGCATGGACTCTTGTTTCCTATTCATCCTACTCTTCCCCCAACCATGAGTTCTTAGGGTGTACTTTCTGGTTCTTCTCTGTTTGAGCCACCTCCTCTCTCCCATGTCCCTACCATAGCTACCCTCCAGCCATTGACACTCTTCTGTCATCTCTTAGAGGTTGGGATAAGGGGCTACGGTTTCCTTTTCATTTCCTTCGTAGACAATGGAGAATCCCAATGGGCCTTTTCTTCCTGGGCTTTGACCAAAAAGTCAAATAATCATATCCTAGATTTATTTGTATTTTTTATTCTGTCCTTGCAATACACAGTAGTGTGGTTGCAAAGCACAAATTCATTTCCCCCCTTTCCTCGTATTAACTTGGTTTCCTGACACCGTTTCATTTAAATGAAATGAAATGCCGTGGGCATCCTTGCCTCTCCTGGACCATGCAATGCCATAGCCTGAATATGTAAGCTATTCATATACCCAAAGCTCCGGTTTACTGTAGCCTGCTACCCGAGTTCCGTCACCACTTAAGTGATGTCACAGCACCCATCACCACCTTATGGCCCCACAGGCTATGCCATTAGGACTCTCCATGCCCCAGATCCCTTCTCTTCTCACACTGAGTTTACCTGTCACCTCACCTTTACTTCACCTAGGCTGTTGTGCTGTCTTCACACAGGCTCAGATAAACAGTTGATGAGTGAGCTGAACTCCTTCCACGCTTCTCCAGGGATCCGCTTTGTCTTTCTAGCCGTGGTCCTAGAAAACTTCAGCCTGGAAAAGTGGGAAAGCGCTTATTAGTTATTTGCCAGGGCTAACTCCTGGGAAATGTGCCCAACATAGGTTTTTGGGAAACACTTTTAGATCCATGTATATATTAACCTTATATTTACTAAGGTAAGAAGCTGTGGTCT